AATTATTTCATACTAGAGACTAATGTCATAAAGAACAATACCAGGCTGGCTTATGACGTTTGGCTTCTTGCTTCAGTAAGTCACTCTTTTCGATAACATACTGAAAACATTAAATTGTTATCGTGATATTGATCACATATTTTATATAATTTTAGCATATATTATAATTTGACAGTCAATGTTTAACTTAGTAATTGATTCACAATTTGTTAGACCTCCCGTAAACCCATTAATGTGTTAGCATTTAATGAGTGTTTCAGACGTAAACTAATTAAAAACGAACGGAACAAACTAATATTGGCAAACTCCTGAAAGCTTAAGTCAATGTAGGTTTGTTGATTCACGTTATGATTCATACTTCTCTCAAATTAATATTAACTTTCAATCAAACTTCTTACCTAAAGCGAAACTATAAATCAACCTGGTAACGCGTATAGCTAATTAGATATAGTTATCTTGTATTCTTACTTATAAAGATTAGAATACAGCGTTTCATCAATTGGGTACCCTCGTTATTAGCGATATTTTAGGCCGTAAGCCCAGTAATATCTCACGAGGTTCGGCTAGCTTAGTAGTTTTATATTAGTCCTAAGTACGTATATTTTAGATAACAATGTAAAACAATATCTTATAATGAAAGTATAATGATAAAAAATATAATTAAAAATAACAAAATTAGCTATATTGAACATTCTAACCAATATTGTTAGTTGAAGTAACAATAAAGAAATAATATAGTATACCTTACTTACGGAACACAAACACTAGAAATTGACTTCACGTGTCATTGTAGCTTTAATGTTCGGTCAGCAACGTAGTATCATCAAAACCACGTATAAGCTGAACTTTCCACAGCTCACCCTAAAATGTCTTGTCACTAATAGAAACCTCTTAAATAGCTCCAACAACGTAACTTTAGAGAGGTGTGACATCTGATGTAAATTACTACCATGCCACATATATTACTGTTAAGGGTGGAGTCATGGAGCAGAAAAATACCAAGAGTGTAGCCAAAGTTAATGTTTATGTATACAAGAGAAATAAAAAAATTGAGACTTTAAAAACCTGCAAATAGGCAAAAGGTTAAAAAAGTAGGCATACAAGGCTGGAGATACTGTAGACATTATTACTCAAACTACAAATCCCTATTTTGACTCCACTAAATGTAATTATAAGCAATAGCATGGAGCCAAAATGGAGATTTTAAGTTTGAGTAAATAATGTCTACAGTATCTCCAGCTTTGTTTGCCTACTTTTTTACGATCCTTTTTTAGCAGATTTTTAAATTCCTATTTTTTTTTCTAATTTGGTTTGTTTGCTGGCTTTTTCATGCTCAACTATGGGCAAAGGATCACTTGATATGGTAGCTAACTTATAGTGGTTCATAATAGGGATCGCAAGGAATTACACAAAACCCTAATAGAAGGTTCGGGCATGATGATTTACTGTAGCTATTGAATATTTGATCACATTAGTTCGAGATGTAAAATGTTAAGCTGCAGCAGGAAATTGTCATGGAGATTTGTTTGAGAATATAGTGAGCATTTTTATGGGTTCTGTGTAACTAAATTTTCTATACATAATGCATAGCGATCGCCAAATATATGCCTTGACTAAGACACAATCCCTACTAAACCTTCATGTATTTTAAAGTAATTATTCTACGAAAGTGTTTAATAAAATGTAATATTATTTGTATTATGTATAAATATACCGATTCTATATTGTACAAAGCATTGAGTATCTACATGTTACAATCATCTAATATTAATCAATTATTGGCTGGTAATTCCTGTTTCAGTCTGTATTTAATATTTTTAAAGGAACCAGATATTCGTACAAAAAGCTAACTTTAAAGAATAATGATAACATCGTTTACACTAGAATTATGATGTTTTTTAGCTTATATAAAATATAGAATAAACAAATCGTCTTTTCAATACCTCTACGACCTTCGCAGTAACTTTAGTATTCTACAAAAGGTTTGGGTACAATATACCATGCTGTTTTTGTTGTAGGCTGGCAAGAGAAAAATAAGAAGAATTACAAACGGCCCGTTTTGAACGGATTTTCTTTTGCTTATAAGTCTAGCATGTGTGCTTTTTGTGCATTTCTTTATTCATACAGCCTTAGCAGTCAATAGGAGATGTTTTAAAGTGTTATTTGAACTGAATATTTACTGTTAAAGGTGCTTTTTGCCCGAACGTTCTATTAATGTTTTGTGCAATTCCTTGCGACCCTATTATGAACCACTGTCGTGGTTCATGATACAAAATAATAAATACGAAATTAAATTAATACCTGAATATTGGTTCTGCAATTAAAATATAATTTTAAATGTAAAACAAATAAAACAATATGTTAAACATACTATGAGATGTGTCTGATACAACTACTCTTACTAACCCTAAAAGCAGGTACCAAGAAGTGATAAGAGATATCAAATCTTCTGTAAATAAACTTAATAAATTTCGAGAAAATTCAATAATACAATAAATTTTAGAAAGGAAAGTTACAACAATCATAAATAATGCAAATAAAGTAATTAGCAAGAACTATTGTTATACGCCTAGCATGAATTCTTTGTCGTGATTAATCAACAGCGCATCACCTGGTATGAAACATTTTAAATGTTGCCTTGAGAATCCAGTTAACAAATCCTATAAATGTTGCCCAGTTGTCAAGGCTGTTGCCATGCAGATATGATATTGTAGCAGAACTTTGCAGACGACAATTCTTTACAGCACAGTGAAAACACGCTGATTCATTTAGGCCTAATTACAAACAATTTGCTCAAACCTAAAAAGAATGTTGACGTACCTTATTGCGTAAAATTTCAGTTAACCACGGATGAAGAGCTACAGAGTCGTTCCAGAAAACGGTAGTAAGAATACTTAGAAAACAATCAAACACGCTGTTGCATTTAAGCCTAATTTACAAACAACGTCGGAAATCTCGCCAGCATTCTAGGCACATTTTATGCTGAAGTGAGACAGGGCGTACTTTATACGTTTATTGATATGATCACATGATCATGGGCTGTTATATTTTGAAAATTAAGCAATTTCCAAATCTATTGATTTATAATTGATTCTTAAAATGAGGTCAAAATATTCAATAAAATGTTAAACTAAGATTTATGTATAGGCCTAGGGAAGTAGGCTAAATATATTATGTGACAGTGCTAATTAATCAGAGATTAGTAAAACTGAATAAAGAAGAGATGGTGTAGAATAAAACAATCAATGACTGGTGATTTTGGAAAATAGATCATTTGTTGCCCTCATAATCAGCCTAATAATTGCTTAATGTAACTTAATAATGACGTAATGTCATACTATATACGGAACTGTTATATAGTTAGAATTAACTATACATAATAGGAGCTTAAACTAACGGGAGGTAAAACCAATGGCGGTCAGTACACTAAAGCGGTCACTATCAACCAACACAACTTCCAAAAGAATTAATTGTAGACGTAAAAGTTTTTAAAAGGTCGTGGTACTCCTGTAAAACTTCTAAACCCAACATCAGTGAGAAGAAAACTGTTGAATTTCTCATATACTTTGAATAAATTGTGTGTTTAAAAGAACCATAGGAAAACCTCGTTTGGAAAACATTACCATCAAGGAATGCTCATTGAAACACGTTATGGCCTTATTCTTTTCTCAAACATAACCTTCAAGTTAGGCTCATTGAAACACGTTATGGCCTTATTCTTTTCTCAAACATAACCTTCAAGTTAGGCTCGCTGATTCACATTATGGCCTTATTCTTATCTCAAACATAACCTTCAAGTTAGGCTCGCTGATTCACGTTATGGCCTTATTCTTATCTCAAACATAACCTTCAAGTTAGGCTCGCTGATTCACGTTATAGCCTTATTCTTCTCTCACACTTAACTTTCATGTTAGTCTCGCTGATTCACGTTATGGCCTTATTCTTATCTCAAACATAACCTTCAAGTTAGGCTCGCTAATTCACGTTATGGCCTGATTCTTATCTCATGCATAACCTTCAAGGTAGGCTCCCTGATTCACGTTATGGCCTTATTCTTATCTCAAACATAACCTTCAAGGTAAGTTCATTTATTCACGTTTATAGCAAGTTTCACCCCCTAGTATAACCACTGAGGTGGAGTGAGGTAAAGCCTCATATCTCTGTCGAAGTTATCTTTCAACCTTGATAAATAATTTGCTTTAGAAGCACATTAGACGGTCATGCGAATTATTGCCCAAGAACTTCAATGAATATTAAACAACCAAAGAGCAAACGATTAAGCTCAACCATTTAGTTTTAGGTTTTACACATAAATAATTCTCCATCTTAATATCACTACTAATGACTGTCCTTCAAAGTATCAACGTTCCTTACTAATGACTTTTTGCTACCCAGGTCACCAATTTCACTTAGCAATGACATTTTTGACCCTCAAGATGCTAGTATTGCTTAATGACATTTAGCTCCTCAGGATACCAATATCATTTACTAATGTGATTTTGCTCCTCATAGTACTAATGACACTACTCCTAAATGAATTCGACATCACACTGTTGAAATAACGCCCTTAAACTACCGTGAACTCAGCACTAAAAGCAGGGCCATCTTATCGCATGGGCACACTGGGCAGTTGCCCGGGGGCTCAGAGATTCAATTTGAAAAATAAAAATTAAGGTTCATATTATTAAGTAGCAATGGCGTTAATGTGAAATCGGGGCCTCCTTACCTGGCCGGCACAGCAGCAGTGCAGCACTCCAGCACTTTTTGCGTTTCCATATACGTGTAATACAACACAAGCAGTCCTAATGCAAATGTTCAAGAGTTGTTAAAAATTGAACGAACTCTCAAACAGCTCAGAGTATGCAGCTGATATATAATAAACAAATAGCGTCACCTCAGCCAGTGTTATTACTCCATGGCCTAATTATTAGCAAAAATACCAACGTTTTTCAGCAACTCCTTAAAAAACGGAAACTTTCTTGGCATTCTAGAACTATTGAATGAGTTTGACCCCTTTTTTGGAAGAACATTTAAAAGTGTACAGAAATGCTGGAAAGGGGAACCCATCATATCTATCGGCATACATTTGTGAAGAATTTATTGAAATAATAGGACAACAGGTATTTTGTGCAATTCTGGAAGAAATCAAAGAGTCAAAGTATTATTCAATAAGAGTCGATTCCACTCCGGACATCTCGCATATTGATCAACTGACATTTACTAACCGGTACATTCGTGGAAGTGAGCCGGGGGAACATTTCCTCAAATTCATCCCCATCTTTTCTCACGGGGCGAAGAATTTAGCAGACACGGTTGTAGAGTTCCTGCAAGAGAACAACATTCCGTTATCAAACTGCCGTGGTCAGTCTTATGACAATGCCTCAAATATGTCAGGACGCTACACTGGATTGTAAGCTCGGATCCGTGAACCAAATGAATTTGCTATCTATATTCCTTGTGCTAGACACAGTCTGAACTTAGTGGGAGTAAAAGTGGCAGAGTGTGGTCCACAGATCGTCTCTTTCTTTGACTTTATTCAGCATTTGTATTCCTTTTTCTCGGCTTCCACCCATCGCTGGAATGTTCTGACGTCATCCTTAGGAAAGAATCACATTGTGGTCAAGTGTCTCTCTGGCACGAGATGGTCAGCACATTTTGATGCTGTCACTGCTCTTCATGGAGGTTTCGAGAAAATTCAAGATGCATTGGATGCCCTTGCAGTTGATGCTGATCACAAGTGGAACACAAGACGCGAGGCAGAAGGACTGAGCAAGAAAATGGAGAAGCTAGAGATTATCTTTTTAACAATTCTTTGGAATGACATTCTGGGAAGAGTGAACAAAACAAGTAAAATTTTGCTGTCAAAAAATGTGGACATACTTGTTGCCAATGATCTCCTCAAGTCTCTGAAAGTCTATCTTCAGGAAATGAGAGACAAATTCAGTGAGTATGAAGCGAAGGCTAAAAGCAGGTGTCCTGATTTGAAATATAGCGATGGAGACAAACGTGCAAGAAAGCGAAGTATGCATCTTACCAGATATTATGGGTTACCGGAACAGATACTTCTCCACGAAACTGAAAAATTCAAGGTGGAAACATACCTTCCTCTTCTGGACTCTCTAAACTCTCACCTGACTGAACGTGAAGCCTACGAAAGTATTGAAAATCTGTTTTCCTTATTCAGTCAGTTAAAAACAATTGACTGTAATGAGTTTAGTCAAAGGTGTGAAAAATTGGCTAATGCTTATCATGAAGATCTTGATTACAATGAATTGCTCAATGAATGCAAGCAATTCAAGCACTACATTGTCCACGATGAAGAATACAAGACTCTTCCAGACGTGTACAGAAAACTCATTCCAGATAAGTTGAAATCTGTGTTTCCCAATGTTGAAATCGCACTCAAAATATTTATATGCATGATGGTGACCAACTGTACCCGGGAGTGCTCATTTTCCAGGTTGAAACTTACAAAGTATCATCTTCGCAGCACAATGGGACAGCAGGGGTTGAATCTGCTTTTCCTCGTGTGCATTGAAAGCGACATCCTCAAAAACATAGACTTTCAACCAATTATAAAGCAATTTTCTGCAATTAAATGCCGCAAATTTTCCAGTTAAAAAAACAACTTCATTTTAATGTGTTGGGGGGGGGGGCAGTACATTGCTTTGATCGGAGGCCTCAAATATTCTTAAGATCGCCCTGACTAAAAGTACATTTTCTCAGAAACTTCAACCCTTGATGTGTTCATCGCCGAAGATGCTAACATCCTATCAGACACATCAAAATTTGTTTCCAGCCATCTAATGTTCATTTTTCTACAGAATATTCACCATTACGCTTTCGTTGCTGAATTTGCACGAATCAGGAAATTTTACCCCGTCGTGTATTCGCTACTAAACGTTTATTATCTCGGATCATTACTCTATTATGCTATATACTATTAAATATATATTTCTTTAACACTTTTTTTCTGTGGTTTATTCGCCGATAAACGTTTACCTCTTCAGAAATTTATATCTTTTCGTTTACTCACCATCAAATGTAATCCCTCTCAGATCCATTAAGCAGTCACGTTCTCGCTTCTAAATATTTATCCTCTCATACTGTTATATATATTCACCACTAAACATTTATCCTCTCATACTGTTATATATATTCACACTAAACATTTATCCTCTCATACTGTTATATATATTCACCACTAAACATTTATCCTCTCATACTGTTATATATATTCACCACTAAACATTTATCCTCTCATACTATATTATGTATTCACCACTAAATACCGAGTATTTATCCTCTCAGACTATTATGTATTCACCAATAAATACCGAGTACTTATCCTCTCAGACTATTATGTATTCACCAATAAATACCGAGTACTTATCCTCTCAGACTATTATGTATTTACCAATAAATACCGAGTATTTAGCCTCTCAGACTATTATGTATTCACCAATAAATACCGAGTATTTAGCCTCTCATATTATATTATGTATTCACCAATAAATACCGAGTATTTAGCCTCTCATACTAT